TGTCCTAGTTTGACTTTAATAACGATGCAGCAGCGCACCTCCGCTACGTCGAGAATATGTTTCCGAGAAAAATCGTTGCGGGGAAGCCCGTTCGCGTGCCGCCCATCAACTTCACAATATTGCCGCGTGTCTTATTATCGCAAATCAAGAAATGGAGGAAAAGAAGGACGCGGAAGAAAACATCAGCTCGCGTTCACGACTTTACGCTTTGATTCCACCTTGAAGACCCCCGGATTAAATTTTGATGCTATTCTGCCGACGCTTTTAAGGATAATTGGGGCGTACTTAGATAGTCTGTAAACTAATGAAAGCCTATTTTGGCAATACTGACACAACTTCTCCCTCGAACTTTCAATTCCACAGATTGAATTTTAACGTTACCTTCAACATTTTGACGGTAAAGCGGAAGCGGGAATTTAAGACATCGTCTCGCCGGGGTCAAAATAGAAGTTAAATTGTATTATCAGAACTAACTACTATGCTGCAGAATTAAAGGTTTAATGTAAGGCCAAAATTTCGACTCGGGAATCCTTTCCGCGCAGAATGTACCATCGCTGGAAGACGCTGCGAGCAGTCGCGGAGACCAGTCGTCTCCGTGAGAACGGCGGGTGATGATGAACGCGCTCGTTTCCGTCTTGAAAAGATGAAAGGAAAGGGAAGAAAATATCGCGACTCGCGCACAGAGCGACGTTTAATAAGGAGCGCGTAACTCCTTCCGACGGCTTAATAACGAGCCATCTCCCAATGCTGGACGAATACGAGCGCGAGGCCGGACGTGCGATCGAGCGAGCAATTTTCGCGTAACCGATCGCCGCTCGTGTTTGACTTCGTGCGCGAGTACACACCTCCGTTATTTGGAAATTACCTATTTATACATCTGCTCGTCACGCCGGACGGCCCGCGAGATATCGATTCGTCCGGTCGGCGTCGCCATCGATGGCAGGCGCTTTGAAAACCAGGGTACGACGAATTCAAAATTTATTGAGAGGCCAGAAAGAGAGGGAGAGAGAGAGGGACGGAAACGTCGGGCCGCAGGTTACTCCTGGCGATTACGCTGCTCGACAGACCGAGAACCAATCATTCGCACGACCGGCGACGCTCTCGGGGAACCTTGAACTTTGCATTTCGGCCAGGGACTGAATTTTTGCGCGCAACCGAGTATAAGTGTGTCCGATTTCGCATTCGATCCATTTCTACCGACTACGGTGCGGCTGTCTAATAGCGAATTCGACCGCGCGATTTGCGCCCCGGAAGGCAGTTTTGCTCGAACCGACATGATAAATATATACGCTGGTGTGTAAGCGGTTTGATCAATGAAATCAGGACGAAGCTCGGAATTAATGCTGTCAGTAGAAGCCGGATAATAATATCGAGCCGATACTCAAATTTACAGTTATCAGCGTTGAGCACTTGTGAAAACATTCTCTCTCTCTCTCTCTCTCTCTCTTTCTCTCTCTCTCTTTCTTTTCACTCAAAATAAAAACATGGCAATTTAATCCGGCATTTGAGAGCTTACCGCACAAATATTAATTACTCAACATAAAAGTAATAATAAAAATGAAAAAATGTATGAAATAATAAAATAATAAAATAACAGTAAAAGTAGTCGGGTCCCCAGGGTATGGGAGGTAACAATATTGCAAGTTGAAATTTTAAATGTTTCAAAACATTTTTTAAAGGGAGAGAAAGAGAGAGAGAGAGAGAGAGAGAGAGAGAGAGAGAGAGAGAGAGAGAGCAGGTTCTATTGATATTAAATCGGTACTAAAATATAAAGGGGCTTTGTACACGAATATGTCATAACGTAATAAAATAACAAAAATTGAGTTTAATCGAATGAAAAAGTTTTCAGCAAATTGTATATTCAGTCCAGTCGGTTTGCCCATCTACCGGTTGTCGCTGATTTTTGCAGCCAGTTTCACATCAGATGATCCAGTCTTACGCTTTTTTAAGGTATTATACACATTAATTGTGATATTTGAACACCTGGATAGCCCTGGAAAAATTCCCAAGATACTTGGGTGTCTGAATAGTACTCGGAGACTTGAATATTAACACCACTACCCGCTACTAATCGTTTATTTCGTTCGGAACAAGCCAGCGAACCGCCCGCGGCATCTCTCCTAAGATATTGAATGCATCGTTCGGTCACGAAGATTAAACGTTAACGAGCGTAATCGAATGCTCGAAGAGGGCAAAAATGGAGGGGGGGGGGAGGGGGTAACTCCGAGAGACTACGGCGACGCGCTTTGCTGTCTCCCATAGAGATCGTGCGCGTGTCCCGATAACGAAACCTGTCCATAATTACTTTGCTTAACTGGGTATGCACCTCGCGAGATTACAATTACAAATCGGCGGCGAGCGAAGCTCCGCACCCATGGTCTGCTCATCAATTATTTATGGACTACCCGTTACCCCGTTTTACCGCGGTCCTCCTTGCTCCGAATCCACGTTGTGGATTTATCCAAGCGAGAACTTCGCGTTCTTCGCGTCGCGTACGTCTTTTTCTCGCGTGTTGACGCACACCGTGAATTTTCGCGCGAACGCCTGACACGCATGCAAAGGGTTGCAGGATGGAAAAGAAAAATAAAAGAGTAAAATAATATAAAACAGATAAATAAAATGGAATATGTGTAATATATAATAAGAAAAAAAAGTAAATACATGATAAATATGATAAATATATAAAATAGCGAAATAAAGAAGAAAAATATCTGTATGGACTGACTGATGATATGAAAATATTTTTTCATTGAAATAAGTAATTATTTTAACGAACAAATTTTTGTTATCACGTTACGCTATAACGTTTGTGTACATAGACTATTTACATTTTATTATCGGTTGAATATCGAAGGAATATTTTTTTCTTTTTTTTCTGAAGGAGAAAAGAAACGTTTAAACATTTCAAATTTCAAAATTCTTCCCTGCAGTAAGAAGAATATCCGGCAGTTCCGGGTAACTCCGTAGATGCCCATCGCCTCTTTACAATGTCTTAAAAATGGTCTAGTGAATGCTCCGATTACTTTGCGCTCTAATTGCCTTGCAAAACGAAACTATTCTCTAGAAATTTTTCTCGATAATGAATTCCCCCGAGCATTGTTCACTTTGAAACTGTAACAATATTTACGCTCGTCGGCCTCTTTAGCGGTTTAACGATTTAATGATAAATCTCAACTTTCCTGACTGCACCGAGACGATAAGCTGTACATACACAATCAGAAAAAAAGTTACAACACTTTTTTCAATGAGTTTCACAACGTATTTATATCCAGTAAAACAATTTCTATTTTAGTAATTTTCGCGAGATAAACTTTCTTATTGGATATCCGTTCCAAAGTCTATTAGTAAAAGTGTTGCAGCCTTCTTTCCATTGATTGTGTATTCCCAGTCCGCTAGGATAATCGCAATGTTTGTTGACAAGCCAACGACGTTATCGGGGACTTGCAAAAGCTCGTCGATGATTTCATCGACTGGAAAGATGAGTCACTTTGCAGACTTCGTGGAATTAAACAATTACCTGAAAGTGATGAATAACGAAGGCTGCATACTTTAATTGAACCTGGCATGCACCGTACTGTTTCGTTACTATACTTAATAAAAAGAATCTGGTTAAAGGGCCGAGGAACTCTCTCGCAAGTCCCTAACACAATAATATGCAGCTGCGCGCAATTACGACCGAGTCGGATCCTTCAGGCGGCAATGACGTAACGCATTCGTTCGAGATCTTTTTTATTTCGTTTCTCGCACCTTCCTTTAAGGCGGGAAGGTCAAGCGTGGGCATCGACAAGTACGTGCGTCGTTCGTTCGAGTCCTGCTCGATCGTTTTTGCGCGTCAGCAGTCACAGGCAGTCGGCCCGCGAAAATAAACATTTTTCTTCTTCCCGCTTTTTTCCTTCCTCCCTTTCTTTTCTTCTTCCCGCTTTCTTCCTTCCTCCCTTTCTTTTCTTTTTGGTTTTAAACAAAGTCTCGCGAGTAGATATAACATGTTCGAGAAGTACGTCGAAGTCTCAAAGTGAAGGAAGTGACGTCACAGTATTATGCTCACGAGTCCTAGCGGTTTGTCACGGTTGACAAGCCAAGCGTCCATTTTTCTGCCCTCCTCGAGGCTCGCTTTAGCTCGGGCTTGCTTTCTTCCGGGGATTGTCCTTAGAGGTGTGTCGTGTGAGAGGCTGAAGTAAAGGAGAGACACTTGGGAGGACTCGAATGTCGTGAGTGTGTATGAATTTTTTGCCGAGTTTTCGGGAAGACGGAACCGCGGCGAATTGCAGCAAGCGCCGTCTTGAGTGAGATCCAATAACAAAGTTTTACAACGCGATTTTTTTCCGCGATACCTCACGTATCTCGCATTCTCGCACGCCGAATTCGTCCCTTCGCTCGCGTATAAGGCGACGTACGGTATAAAGAGTAGGTGGCAGAGGCTGTCTGACAGTGTCTACCCGTCTAAATATCAGCTGTCCGTCGGATTTGGATATATCGATACGTGGGTCGTGCGTTGCCTGTGCAAGATGCCATATATGCGTTCGCTCGGTATATAGAAAACGATACGTGGGCCAAAAGAACACGCGTCAGAACTGCCGTTTAACCAGTCTACCTTAACCAGAAAGTATTTCGAGATTCTGAGAGAGAAAGAGAGAGAGAAAATCGTAGAAAACGCAGCGACGCGAACGGTCGGCGTACAACTTTTATTGCGTTGTCACGAAAAAAATGTCCGATATGCTTTATGTAACATCTTCGTGGATGCACGCAACTTGCCTTACGGATATTATGACACCCAATCATGTAATAAAGTACGACCTGTAATCGAGCCGCTAAAGTTTCCGTCGATAGTGCACGTGTTACGGGTCAACCGGAGAGAGAAATTTCTCTGTAATAATAGAACTCCTCTGCTTATATAATTTTTTTAATATACTCGACGAAATGTTCACAATGCGTTCAGAGACACGCATTCAAAATTGAGGATCGAAAAAACGCGACTTATCGCTTACAAATCTCATATTTACCTGCAGCATCTCGAGACGCGATGACGCTTGTGGCGCTGCCATATTTCGGTCGTCGACTTTTCCGCGACTACTCGACGGGGGAGAAACACTCTCGTCCTAAAAAAATAAGAAAAATATTCTCGCGTTATTGTTGAGACATTTGGACAATGTCGGTTCATCCATCGCGCGACGTAGTGTCGCTTCAAGATGCAACGTGTCGCGAATTTAAAATAAAATGATCGTTACAACTAAAAGGTACGTATGCGTTGACCCGAAAGATCAAAATGTCGAAATTAGAAAAACGAGGTAGTTTCGGCAAATTTATATTTTCGAAATTCGGGCATTGTATTGATTTCGTTCTCATATTAGGCGCTGAAAATTGTATCTCGGGATGTGTTCGGATTTCGGGGCGACGACATTTCGAAAAATGGTCCTACCTCTTCACATGCCAGTGCGCATTCTTCTTCTTTTTCTTCCAGGACGACGCATGTTCGCCGATTAAGGTCGTTACGATTAAGATCGACCTGCAATTATCGGGTTTTATCCACGGCGCATATCTGCCGCGAGGCGCGCGATTAATATTCCGCTGCTGGTTAAATCGCGACATCGTCATTTGCTCGGGTTATTCCGATAAAGGTAGGCGGCGTTGGCGTCATAAATTAACGCGCTTAGACAAATGTCGCGTATCTGTAATTCGCTACTAGCGGAGTGGTAATATTGCGGAGTGAAAATAGCACCGGTTCAGCGTAGCGCGCGGGAAATTATTCCCCCCCCCCCCACTGGAGTCCCAAATAATTATACTTGAAATAGCGCCGCATACGCGCGGTATCGGCTACAAAATGAGCGCTCGTTACCCGCGGAAAATTCGCAGATATGGGAAACGGAACCCCGCGCGATCGGAACGTCCTTCTCCTCTTTTCGGAAATGCAGCGGAGGGCGACGTCCCGCCCGGCTCGTTAGAACTCGCTTCGGGATATTATTGACGGACGCGAAGTCGCCTCGTCGCGGTAATAGTGTTTTTAGGCCAACGAGCGCCGTGAGTCACGACCCGTGACGTAATCGTGAGACTTTTATGGTTAAGAGTCGAGAGACACAGCCCGTTTTGCGGCGGCTCGTTTGCGGTTTATTCCGAACACGAAGCGCGCGTGTCGCATTAGCGCGTTACCGCGGAAAATAATTCAAGAGAGATCGCGCCCGTCCGCTATCAAAGGCAACATATTAATTAAAGAGAAGCGTCCGGGGATAGGATCGCGTTAATTAAACACTCGCCGCAAGTCCGTAATTGGTGTCTCACGCGAGGAAAGAGGAGCGATGAGTCGCGCGCGTGAAACACGCCGCGCGTTGTTCCCTCGACGGTTCGAGAGCCGGGGATCTCACGATAGACCCCTCCGGTGAAGTTTCGATTCGCGAACTTCGCGATACACGCGAATCGCTCGCGTTCGACGGCTCGTTCGTGTGTGCGCGCGCGTGAGCGAGCGAACGAAAATGTCCGGTGACCCAGGTATTCGACGGCTCTCGCGTGCTCTTATTGCGCCGGATTATTTATAGTTTTACTAAAAACGTACTCTTCGCGAGGATTACCATAGGCTGGTACTCCACCATACGTATGGTCACCTCAGGTATACGCGGTTCCATTTCTATAATTAAACCACGCGCGAGCGAGCGAGCGAACGCGCGCGCGAGCGAGCGACCATTTGCGATAACGTTCGCGAACCGACACACCTATGCCGATAAATCGCGCGGAAGTAATGGGAATGGACGCGGCTAAACAACGCGAAAACAAAGTTACACAGCGCAGAGTCGTAAACGTCGTCTCGAAAAGGCGCTTTACGAAGAAGCACTTTATTTCTCGGATAATTAGCCGGTGACTTTCCGCTGAAACTTCTCATCGGAGTTTTAAATAACGCGACGACACGCATTTAGCGTGTACACGCGGATAAACCGAGTGGTGTTTGCGTTATATTATCGTTGCGAGGAGCGGCGGCGCATTAAGTTAAAAAACGAGACGACACAGCGCGACGACACCGTGGCGAAATAAAATCCGCGAATTTGCATGTCGACGCCCGAAAGCCAAGTGCGCGACTCTGAAGCGACCGGGAGGTGTTTTAAATGGAATCCTGATTTTTATTAAATTCATGCGTCCACCGCGGACACTCGGGCCGATCGGATGCCTCGCCGTTATGATCTGCGGGAATCTCCGCCGCGCGCGGCCGAAGTGGCATGCGTGTGCGAATAATGATATTCACACTTTCGGCGTTATTATATCCGCTAGCATGTGCGAATTGGCTGGCGAATGCAGGCCGTGTGTATGCATGCACAATTAGGCTCGCGTCCGCACATGGCGTGCACGTGCTCGATTCCGAGAGGAGAAAAGGCGCGAGCGATCTCGCGACGAATGCTTTTGATATACCGTATCGAAACACAGAGCCGTGGACAATGCGATTCACGTCGATCGCTCGGCAATCCCGAGCGCGACGGAGATGGTTGGCGCATTGAATTTTTGGCGGAGTTCACGGCAAATATTTAATCTATAAGTCTGGACCGATCGGAAGAGAACATCAATTAACATATAAAATGTATAATGCATATAAAAATAATTATATATATATGTAAAAATATGTGTATATATAATTACAGTCTTGAATTATTAATTAATTATTTCTTTATTTTATTTTAAACTCTTTATCTCATATATCTTATATCGAGTCTAATTTTATGTTCGTTTATCTGCGATTAGTTTTATTTTATCGTCGTATACTAAAGAGTTTTTCCCACGAATAAATTATTATTATTATCTTGTTTATTGAATTCTATGGTTATTACAGCCAGATTTTAATAGCGTCTTTGAGATGCGCGAAGATACGCGGGCAAAATGGCGCGATGATTTAACGGGTAGTGCGTAACGGGCGTGCAATTAGTTAGCCGCATCTCAAGAACGTGTCTGGTCATTCCCGCTCTCACATTCGTATCTCCCATCTCGACTCGACTTAACCAGACACACAGCAGACGCGATTTCTTTTCCCCTCCCTGGGATTCTTTTCTCTCACTCTCGGGTAATTACCGCGAGTCTAACGCAGAAGAATCGGGCATAAGAGACGGTAACTCGGGGGAGCATTCGTCGTTCTGAAACGCTCTTCGGTTTGGGCAATTAAAGCGGAATTTAAGCGTGCGACGAAGTGCAGTCCCGTCCGCTTGTTGAACGTGAGTCGCGAGAACGAAAGAAGAATGCGATTCTTATTAGCGTTGTTCGCGTACACATATTGTTATCAACATTGGGGAAGGACGAGCTGCCGAAGCGGCGCACACTATGGGTATTTTATCGCGTGCGTAATGAACATTCGCGCAAATTAATGATTTAACGATGCCTCCACGCAGTGCATCAACCGCACTTTTAGGGGGAAGGGCGGACGAGATAATGGTATTATCATTAGTTACGTGTTAACTGCGCGCGCACGCACGTTGGTGAATGGTTATTATATTTAATAAAAGAAGAATGTGTGCATTTCGGCTTGGAGGCGAAAAGGCCGTGATTAAATTTCAACAGCGCGCCACGATAAACCGATAGTTATTGCAGCAGCAAATTAAATTAGCGAAATCGGGAGAAACGTTAGTGTATTTCAAGTGGATTTCACGCTAACGGGGCCTTCATTTCTGGACCAGAGAAATGTAAAGTGCGCGAGGATCTATAATGGAAAACTGACCCCGTGGAATTTGTTACTAAAATCTCACGCGACAGAAGCGAAATGTTTTTCAGGAAATTTTTTCACCTCAATTCGATTTCGTCATTTCTTACATTTTGATACCATACATGATACTGTCGTATCAACAATCTGACGTTTGATCTGCGAAATTGACATTTACTTATAAAACTTGATTGACGATAAGAGGGTTAATAAAATTTAAATGTAGTTGCATATAGATGTGTTATTCATTATCCAGAGGAAACTATAACCAACTGTAATAAACAATTACAGAGCAATTCGACTTTTGATTGTAAGGTTAAGTGAATCGAATGATAAATACGACCAACAATGTATTGTGCCAGTTTTACGATCGTTTCATTGAACTAAATTTTAAACTTATTTCACAGATATATAGGAAATTAATAGAATACCAAAAACTTATTCTGAAAGAATTAGGGTAATTATAATTTGCCATATGCAACCTTGAAATTGAATTTGTTTTACTTGGTTTCAAGTTGTTTTTTTTAAGTATATACATATATATATATGTATGTGTGTATATATTTCATCGTATATTATATTGCTAATTTTTGTTTAAGTATATTTATATCAGTTTTTTTAAAGTATATACATATATACATATGTATGTATGTATATATTTCATCGTATATTATATTGCTAATGCTGCACGATAAGATAAGATTTCAATATTAGCACTCGACATCTCGAGTAGATAAAATATATGAGCAACGGCGCCGTCATGGTGCAGCAGCGAAGCGTACAAAAATAAAAAAGACAAATAGAGAGAAAGAGAGAGTGCACTCACCGTTGTTGAGGAGAAGACTCCCGGCGAGAGGTAATCGCTGATAATTCGTGGCCAGTCCTTACACGAGGAGGAGCGATGCAGCACTGACAGTTCCGCCGTCCCTCTCTGATTCACCCTACGTCTCCCTCTCCGTCCTCCTCCCACCCAGGCGTGAAGAGCAAGAGGGAGACGAAGAGTAAACGAGAAGGGTTTATGAACCCGCGAGAGAACGCTGGAGGGAGGAAGTGTCAGGTGAACGCGGTATCCTGGCTAGAAATACGATGACCTTCGTGCAGGCCGGATCGTATGGTATCCCTTCGTTGGACGACGGTGTCCTTGCAGGTAGGAGCTCTGGAAATGTAATGAGGATTCCAGGTGTTTCTTCGAGAAAAGTGATTTATCGCCTTGATGGATCATCGAGCAACGATAGACCACTTGGTCATGTTTGGTAAATGGAAGCCTTAAGAAATATTCTTATAGGGTGCCTATATCAAAAGGCAAGGTCGATCGACGACGAGATTGTTGTGCGTGTGTGTGTGTGGAATAAAATGACTATATATATATATATATAATAAAACAATAACTATTACCATCTCGACTATCTTCGAAAAATAAAAAAATATTTTATCAACGACTAGATGAAGATGAAAAGTTTACAGAAGGTGTTCAAAGTGACCATTGGTATCGATGCAAAAAATTTCTCTTAGATAAACTTTTCTCCTACTCTCATACTTCCAAGATATTCAAGATAGTGACAGTTACTGCTTCATTCTCCCGAGTTGAAATTTAGGTCTTTTTACTATTAAACTTTTAATTCTACAATATAGTAGGAGCTGAAAGGTAGCAAAATAAGTACCTCATTTTAATTCTAATAATATAATTTACTTCTACTTTGACCCTGATGATGTTTTAAATTTCCGTTTTTGCTCTTAACATCAAAATAGGTTGTTCAAAATAAAATTAAAATGAAATGATAAAATGAAATAAATAAAATTAAAATGAAATATATAGGATGAAAGGTTTTCAAGAGAGAGATTAATAAGTATCGGTATCGTCAAAGTAGGTTTTTATTATTCTATCCAAAGTAAGCCTAAACTATCCTTAAGAGCATCAAAATCTCGACTCGGACTGTGTACGTATATATCACACTTTTTCGCGTATTAATTTCGTATGTCCGTATCGTGTTCTGCCTTAATCACTCTTCTCCAATCAATCCGAGACGATGGGAGATGCAAGTTTCACGTGAAAACAATCGCTCGCGAAATGCTGAGACGTCGGCTGCAACAGCGAGACTGACCGAGATCGACGACGGCTGCTCATCGATCTTCCGGAATAACATGGGTATTCTTCCAAGAGTCATACGTCTTATTTGTGGCGAGACGTCCCGCGCTAATGCGCGGCGCAAACAATAGTCGCGATTATTTGCAAAGCACGAATCCAGCGCGTTCATCGCGCTTAAAAACCTTCGAGATCCGTCGTTATGAGTTATGAATTACGAGAAATATGTATCTTTCTCTTTCTCGTCGGCGGTTAGGTCATGGCCATTCGCGATGACGAGAGCGTCCGAGGAAGTTCGGTCGGCTCGTACGCTTTCTAAGAGCAGCTCGTTTCATTTCGCACAATTGTGCGTTCGTAATATTAAATATAATAAATATTTGGTGTATACACCAATATCAGGGTGCCCGGATATTCCGGTGCTAACCTGAATACTCGAGTCTTCCCGATACCTCTCCGGCACCCAGGTGTTCGATTATTTTGCAAATTACCCGGGGATTCGAGGACCATTAGAATATGATTAGAACGTAGACGTTATCTTTACAAATTTGCTGTCCGTCATAAGTCGATGAGAAACGTGTTAATACGCGAGCTGACGGTAATGTGTTTCAACCGCTGCGAAAATCAATAACAGATGGCGAACGAGCATTTTACCCGGGTATTACCCGTGATTCTTGGTTCCAAGTACTCGGATACTTGGATATTTCGGGTGATATGTTGCGCTGTGGGAAAAGATTATCAATCTTACTACGAATCATAGTCATTTTCGGCGCAAACATGTTACTTTGTTATCCCAGCGAGAAAATAATAGCAGCAATGTGCATGCAAGATTATTATCAGCAGCACTATAATACTATTTACTACGGAAATCAGTTTCTCCAGTATAATTATTTCACCATGCGATTATATCAATACTTGTAAAGAGCGCTTCTTTCTCAATGCAGGTAATCGCGAATTATAAATATAGCGTAGATATCCGAATATACGCAGGAACTACTTAATTCACATCGATAGTATTGACAAAAAGACCCGTTTTGAAACGAAAACTAAGCAATGTGATGCAAATATGTGCGAATAAAAATATCTGCGAATTATTAAACGGGTGCGAAAGAATCTCAGTTTTTGCTTATATGGAAATGAAACGAGAACTTACGAAAAAAGAGATTAAAACTTTCCCACGTATTTAATATGGTCCCAAAGATAAAGAATAATCTAAAGATTATCCTAAAGATAAGGGAGACCGTGGAAATTTCGAAGCTTATTCTTCGACCTACGGGTCGGATCGCGACGCACACGTTGGACGCGCGTTCCCACACACCCACGAGTTATCGAGTGCGTCTGATCGCTTATGATAATGGAGTTTCAATATTCAGCAGGTGAGTAAGCGGCGGAGTCATCGAGTAATGTCTAATTCTAATTCCCCGTTCGTTCCACCTACCTTCGCCCGTGCGCCTGGGGGCCAATATCGAGGACAATAATATTATTGCCTACGCCGCCTAACCGAGGCTGTTACCTAGGCGCATTAACGAGCGCGAGTCTGATCGCCGGTTAAGTCATTTGCATCGGTTTGCTCGATATTGCGTACGAGATAATGTAAGCTCAACTACTTCCGGCGAGCTGAATGTTAACCCTCCGGCTAACCCCGGATTTATCCGTTTCATTTTTAGAATGACGTCAGAAAGCATGTTATTCGATCGATGATTCACTAGAAAGACACTAATCACGACGATTTCTCTCTCCCTTTCTCTCTCTCTTTCTTTCTCTCTCTCTCTCTCTCTGCACACAATTTCGCTTGGGAAAAACGGCGAGCTGTGGAACGTACGTGCGTAGAGCCCGCGACGTGGTCTAACCGCGAGATCCGCAGATGGTGCGGCATCTCGATTCCATCTAAATAGAGACTTCGTGCACCGAGAGCTCCCCGTCGCGGGAGCGTTAATTCGATGCCCTTTAATTAACAGCTCCGTGCTGGTGCTCGGCTTAGAGACTTTACCGCACCGTGTGTCCCACTGTTGCGCAACTGCTGCAACCGCTGCGACTGCTTGCGACTCGTTCGCCGTGACGTCTCGGTATTGTGTGCGATAATTGAAATACGGCGCTTGGTTTCGATATCTCCGTTGAAGAGTGACGGGAAAAAAACAGCGGTGGCAGAAATTGAAGAGAGGCATCTTTTTCTGTCGGGAGAGCAGCTCTCGGTGGAGCCGATGACGATTTAAGTATATATTGGTTCAACTGTCGCTCTCTCGGACGTCGAGGCGTTAAATTAACGGCTATGACCGATGAAGCTCGATTGTCCATTTCGCTCTGGTCAAAGACTCGGGTAAATTTTCACTAACGCGGAATCAAGGGTACCATCTCATGATTACAACATTTTTGCTTTCGAGACCGTCCGCCCGGCTTTTGTTCAAATACGCTTTGTGCGACTGAACTTTCTCGCAAAGCAAACCTCTCGAATCGAGAGATGAGAGACAAAGCCGCGGCAAACTTTCCTGGAAAAAGATGTGATTTAACTCCTTCGTGGCAAGTGCGCGAATTGTTGACGGAGCGCGGGAGCTTTGCGAATTTGTTTTGAGGGAGAATTCGCGCGAATTCAATCTCGCAAGCGATTTCGTCCGAGGCGAGCTCTTTTTCGCCCTACGACCAATTTATTAATTATACCTGCATTATGTCCTACGATCGCGCGTCTCATTCACCGGAATGGCGAAATGCACGAGGCGAGTCACGGTTCCCTTCGCCATTGCCCGTTTCTCTTTCTCTTTCTCTCGTTCACATCGCGAAAATTTTATACCGATATCCCTCGTGGGTGGCGGCGACGAACGTGTGACTCATTTCTTTTTGTTCATCGCGTTATATAAATGTTACATCATGCTTCTCTGCTTCGGAGCGCGTGAGATTGATCCTTTCCGACCGTTCCGACTGTTCTGCAACAGAGGAAGAGAAAATCGCGCTCCCACACATGATATTTGATGCCAATTTGAACGATGATGACTTAATTTATGATGTTTGGCGAGGAAGAGAGCAAACGAGAAATAGAGAGGGAGAGAGAGAGGGTGGGAGTTAATTACGCAAATCAGTTTAGGGCAATGGAAGTGGATAAATTTCGGCGAGGGGTCTTTCGCTGGTTGTCGCGTCCCAATTGATTCGATACCTCCGAATTACCCATTCGGCGCGCCGATAATAGCCGGGCGAATTTCGGCGACTCCGATCGCCGGACCGGGTCGATCGACAAAGGCACCGGGACTCCGTGCTTCGACTTCGTTTGGCCGAGATCGAATAACGGGCGACGTGACTGCCAGGATTGCTTCCTCGCGAGAGATGAAAACTGGAGAAATAGGGATAAGCGCGTGTCGCTCGTGCGAATAAAATCCCAAAGGCGTAAAGGAATTCAAATCGCCTTTGTCGCCGATATCATACAGCTCGAAATGCCTATCGCGAAGTGATTTTCGATCGTGCCGTTTTCGAGAATGCGGAACGTGACTTCAATGGGAAGGAGTGACGTTCGTCCGCGAGAATAACAGCCGGTATTCCGCTGCAAATCAATTTGGGTCATTCGTACGGAGGCTGGGCATGATAGTTTTAACACTTGTGCCCTCGGGGTTATTGCGATTTTCAGGTGTACACACGTACAGCGCGCGTCACACGAGAAAATGACACAATTCCAAGATTTGCGTATTTGAGTCAATATCGTAAGAAAATGCGCAGGATTACGCATTGATGATGAGGAGAATGTTACGTTTGAATGTTTAATATTTACCGTTAGAGAGTAGTTTTTTGTTTCTTCTTTCCTCACTTTTCCGTTCACCAAGTTTTGACGACAGGTAGCTGCGGAAT